ATGTATTACCAGGAGGTACAGTGTGTTTGTGCCGGTGGGCGAAAGGGCGAGGAGGGGGTGTTATCTATTTTTTTCTGTGTCACGTATCATGACTGTAAGGTGATGGGGCTTTCTGAATTGCATTTTAAATTTGGAATCAGGACGTTTGGTGGCTGTCAGTGCTCTGTGCCAGCCGAAGCGCAGGGAGAAACCCTCCAACCAGTGAGCACCCGTGTGGCTGCAATAAATAGTCTGAGATAACAGACACCTCTCTGAAGTTTTTGTTAGAAAGTCAGCCAGAGGACTCCACTGTGGGCAGTGACTAATGATATTTGAATGCCGCTCTTTATGCAAGTGTGATAATATATAGCTCTTTTTTTCAAATTGGAATGAATTTGTTGTACAATGAATCAAAATATAATTTCAGTTGGGTCTTCAAAGGAGGAACAGAAGCTGGACTCAGAAACCATATTTTCTAAGCTGACTCTAACCTTTTCCATTTTTCTGAACGGGAAAATTTTCCTTTCCTTTGCATAGAAATGAGGAGGACTTCTACCTCGCAGCTCTATGTACCCTACTGGCTTTCTGCTCAGTGGTGTGATGTAGGTGTGGGAAGTATAAGCTGGAGCATAATTTTAATTAGAACAATTTTTTTTTTTTTTGAGGAGGTTGCCATTTTTTTTTTTCTTAACTTGACAGGTGGAGCCATTGTGAATATTTGCTCTGTTAGAATTGCCTGGTGTGGGAGGGAGTGATGCAGAAACCTAAAAGATATTGATAAATTGGAAAAAGTGTAGAATGAAACAGCAGAAATGACTAGAAGCTTGAGGAATTGACTTCGGAAGGAAGACATTACAAGACTAGTCTGGAGGAATTTGTGTATTTCCTCACTACTTGCATACAGCAACTTTAAAACTAGAGTTAATGCTGTGTGCTTCGAGCAGTGTAGGAGGCAGAGCATGGACTTGCAGGAGACACAGCAACTCATGTTATTATAGGAGGAAGAAATGGGGTGATATATTTTTATCTTCCTAGTGCTGTTGCAAACTTAAGCTGTGAGGCACTGCTGATTGTTAGGGCTGCTACCAAGCTTCTTGGTGTCCCTGGAAAGCCAGGATCTGTGAGGATGTTGTAGAGATTGAATTACTCTGGGCTGATGTAAATGTAACTGAGAGCTAGATTAGTGAACATTATTTACTGAGCTGTGTTCAGTATAAGTGCTGGTTTGCTGGTAATGGGGAAGAGCAGACATTACTCCACCCCACAGTCATGGCGTTTTGCTGTCTGGGCTCCGTGTCACATCTAAAGACAACCATCAGTAGTCCCTACCAAATAATAATGTAATGTATCACAACTGTGCTGAGTAATATTTGTTATTAACTCTTTCCTCAAAACAACTAAGGGAATTCATTAGAGGAGTGTTTACTCTTTGATGCTATAGGTGTGTTAATGTCAATGCCAAGGAAGATGTGGTTCATAGTAGATGGAGGTAAACGTCTACTATTTCACATCTAACTGGCACAAGCACTAGTTGCAGTGAGGTTGCGATATTACGAGCTTTGTCATACCCTGCATACAGCAAGAGGTGTGGGTTTGGGCCAGATCTTTACTGTTACTGGTGCTTGAGCCACCTTGGCTGAAAGAGTTGCCATCATCTCACTGTCCTTTGCAGGACAACAAAACTCTGTAAGAAGGTAATAAGCTGCTTGCGAGCACTCACTTTACAGGATTATTTTACTGAACTTGGCACCTCTAAAACACAAGCCCTGGGAAGACAACACCAACATATGTGTTCATTGTATACTTATTTAATGGCAACAGAATCAGCCTAACACAAGTAATACTATGTCAGGAACATTGGAGATACAGGGTCTTAGTATGCATTTATAAGGCTCAGGCACAAATATGCATATGTTTTGGGAAAAATAACAACTGGTTATTAGAAAACATATTTCTGTTGAATTTCTGATGGCTGAGTACTGACAGGAAATGTTTTGTATTATTGAAAAACAGATGAGTTTATTTGGCAGCAATGGAGTAAATGATGTGCAACCAACCAGAAACTGATGTGAAGCCAGTGTTGTTCTGACCATTTTTTTTTAAATTCTTTTAATATGATCAAGTAGTTATCTTTCTCTGGAAAATCCTGTAGAAAAGTTCCTAAAAGGCATTGTATACACCATAACTGTGACATCAACATTTTAGTAAAGGTGGTAGGAAAAAAAAAAAGATAATTTCCTTTGGAACGAATGGCATGTTGCATAAAGATTATGTGCACACATGAACACATACAAATGTCATTGTTTTGACTTGATTTTACTTCAAAAATTGCAAAAAACCACCAACCTAATATGGACATTTTCAGTTGTGTTTTCCACTTTTGTTTTCTGATTTTCTTTCCCACTGACATGCAGAAATTTTTCAGTGAAAAACCTGACAAAACAAAACAATACCTAATTGGAATTTTCCAAGACAATGAAAAATCATTGTGTTTTCAGGTGGTGTTGACCAGTTTGAGCAGTCTGTGTTTCAGAGAGAAAATCCTACTGTAAATGAAAAAGGAGTTTTATGTTCTTTGTCCATGTTCGAGTTAACTGATGGAAAGCTGAGGCCATGGGTTAATATGATGCCAAGGTGGTTTGTTCTTAAAAGCAAGAGTGATGACTGCTTGCTTTAAAGACCTCTGATTGCCTGGCATGCTTGATTGAAATCCAAACCAACTTGCTTTGAATGACAAATTGATTGTTGTGCACATTTTTGGTAATACAGTGATTTGGCTCCTTGGGTATTATATTCTGATCCCCCCTTCTAATTTATCAGTAGGGAATTAGCAATTCAGCTCTTTCTCAGGCTGAAGTTTGGCACGGTAGCTGTGACAGTCTGTGGCACAGTTGCAGACTCCGTGGTGAAGATATCCCCTCCCAGCAGCATCTACACACTGGTTCTTCAGCATGCATTTCATAGCACTCTTTAGCACCTACCATATTGCTTGTTTAGAAATGTAAATGTTTAAGTCAACAGCAGACCACAGAATTTTGTCTGTTCTTGAGATTTTAAATTTTTTGTTTGCACAGAGTCATCTTTTCCTCCTTACTTCTGTGCTCTGGCTCTGTTCTCATCTTCTGATTTGGCTGACCAAGAGGTGTTGGTTTGGTCTTCAACCAGCACTGTGCTCCAGAGCTTCAGTCATTCCTCGAAGAAAGTGATCAACACACAGTGACAGATCTATGGTTCTCCTGGTCTTAGCATTTGCAGTATGAAAAGTTGCAATTCCCAGGGAGTAGTGCATGTTTGTGAAGTTCAGGGTACCCGTGTGGTGCACATTTCATAACAAGTTGCAGAACCTCTGTAGTTGTCTATCTCTTATCTCATGGTTGTGCTGTATTTCCTCCATACCCCAGAGTCTGATGGGTTTGTGTCACTATGTATCCCAAATAAGATACTATCTGTCCTGAGAAAAGCAGAAGTCTTTCACAGTGGAGGGTGAAAGGAGGTGGAGGACATGACATCCTTCCCCCATTTGTGGTGACTGATCACAGATCTTTCACCATATTGAATACCTGGGTGTTGCTGTCAGTCAAGATGCTTCCGTAGGAAGCCCACATGTAAGAAAAAAGCATACAGTCTGAGCAGGATGTACGCTCTGATAACTTGTGAACACCGTCACGTGCCCTCGTGACCACAAGCTCATGGACAGTAATTCCCTCTTGGCATGCAGCAAGGCAGGGCTTTTCCACTGCTCGCAGCTTACTGGGAAAGCCACAGCACATCTGTTCGGTGGCTTGTGCCATTGAGCATTCTTTGCATAGCCTGCCTGGATAAGCTGTCACTCTTGATTTTTAAAACATTTCACAACAGAGGGTTAGCCTAGAATGGAGAACCTCTTCTGAGCATCATCATCTACAGAGGCGCCTCTGCTCACAAACACATGCTGTGCAAGGCTGCCACCATCATGTCTTATGTCAACAGGGGATCCCGTCCTCTCTGCTGCAGCAAAGCACACTGGTGTATATACCCTCCATCAGTCAGCTGCTGGCCTCTGTTTTGCGTTTATTATGTTTCTAGATCAATGCTTTTATCCATTCTTCCATGCCACGATTCATGTTTTAGAGATGCGCCTTAGAACATCTCTTTTCTTCAGACTCTCTCTGGAAAACTGGTTTAGCTTACCCTTTTGAGAAGAAGCTGGCCTCCTGTTCTGTTTCTCTGAATGTTAGACTTTGTTGGCTGGGGATAGAAGAGGGAGTGTGTACACAAAGGCTCTCATTAGCCTAGGGATGCTAATTTCCTTAAGCCTCATTGATAGTCAACCAGGGAATGATCCAGAGCACTTAAATTTAGCTTGCTCTTCTGAGTCTCCCTTGAGAAGTGTCTGTCTCTCTCCATTGCTATTACAGATGACTGAGTTGATAAATATTTGTCTCTATGAATACTTCCTTGTTTGCTTGATCTTTAACAGGGTGCATTTTTCTGTTTCTTTTGCTTTATACTGTTTTTTTTCTATGCTGGGCAGAATCCAGCAGATTGGGGGAGTGGTCTGCTTTGTTAGTGTTATTATGTTTTGACTTATAGCTGCTGGTTGCATTTTTAACCTATGAATCAGGCATTTCTATCATAAGCATCAATTAATATGTATCTCTTCAGTGCCGAGTCTAAAAGTCATGGGCAATCTTATGGTTTGACTTCACTACATAGTGCTATACTGAATTCAGTAACAATGTTCTCTGTTAGAAGAACTAGACATGGCTAGATGACGTTTCCTACAAACATTGCCCACAGCCTTGCTGCCACCTTGTTAAACTGGTCAGATTTGGAATATAAACAGCAAGTGCCTAAAGGGCTTTGAAAAAATATATTTAATTTTACAATTTATAAAAGTTAAAATTAGCAAAACAAAGCAAAATCATGCCATTCATTCATTACTGTCCCAACTGAATATGCTGGTTGGTGGATGATATTTGTGAATGTTATCATTCCCAGAATGTACTTGTTAAAAAGCTATTTCTCTTTTTCTGTTGCAGTGAACTATTTCATAAAAAATGGTACAGAAGATGTGTTACTGTGTGGCAATAGCACTGATGCTGGGTAAGTGCTTTAAAAATATCTTCACTTCTGTTTTGGTTTTGTTGCAGCATTTGGGGGTTTTTTTGCTACATTTTCTTTCAGTTCTGTCCACTTCTGACCAGCATGAAGTAGATATTTCAACTTCCTTGTGTCAGTCGTAATGAAAGAGAGGATAATGACAATATTGTGCATGGTAATAAAATTTTCTGAACTGCAGGGAAGATAAGTTTGTGTGTGTCACTTATTCGGGTCTAAAATCTTTTGGAGCCTTATTACAGTTCTTTTTCAATACGCTTAAATTTCTCAGTAAAAAAAATAGTGAAAACTAAGTAACGCATTGGCCGAGTGGGGAGTATTTTAAAGGAAATGAAAGAGGAATGGAAACAGAAAAGTTGGAGGGATTTAGACTGATGATGAATTCTTGGCTTTTGGCAAAGGAAGATAAACAAATCAACAAATGCTAGTCCCCAAAATAACATACTTTGGAGGTGGGAAAGTACTCAGTTCTGAGTTGTGACCTACATTTGTACATGATATGTTTATAGACTACACGTGTTTCATTTTCTTATAGTACAGACAGTGAAGAGATCCAGAATAATTCCTGTGGTATACTAACATACTCTGCATAAAGAACTTAATTCATATCCCTACCATCTGTAGATGCTAACAGTTCCTCCTGCATCCAGTCCTCAGGGTCTAAGCGCATTGTCTGAGGGCGTGATTTTATTTGACAGGGTCTCATGATCTTCATGGAAATGGAAGAGTTCAGATGAGATGGAAAGAGATGGGATCTTGTGTGGGCAGAGGAGATTATAAGCCGTGCAAAGACTGTAGGCTGTTACAAGCTGTAGGAAAAGGAAGACAAGACCTTAGAGTGGTGGGATGGATGAGCTTTTGAACTAAATATGTGAGAATATTTGAACCAGGGAGGTGGATGACCTAGGTCAAGTGAAGGGAAGAGGTGAGATGATCTACTTTTGGAGGGACATGTTTTAGTTAGTAGAACTAAATGTGGAAAACTGAAAAAAATTAGAGTTTGAGTTAGGAAGAACATAATGTGAAGAGGTGTGTGTGCACAGGGAAACAGCAGGAAGATGAAGGGAAGATAAAATCTAAACTTGCTTATGGACAGGAGGATGAGAAAAACCATGGGGTCCTGGAGAGAGACACTTTACTTTCTGCTGCCACTGTCTGCGTCTGTATTTACATAAAACAAAGGGAAAGCTGAAGTGCTAGCCTTCCCTCTGCGTGTCTTGTGTGTCTGATCTGTATTGCCAGTCTCATTTAGACTGTAAGCTCCTTGGGCAGAGGGCCATGCTTTCCTCCCTGTTTGTTCCACGGAAGGTACAATGTCAGCATTCATTAATTACATGCTTTGTTGATTGTAATACATTCAATTTATCCAGGCTCAGGCTGGACTCCAAGACTAATGGGATGTTTCCTGGGGATCCCAGGATTTGGCAATCTTCCTATGCTGGTGGACTTCTGCCTTTGTTAACCAATAGGCAAAAATATTGAGAAAAAAATGTTCAGCACAGTGACAATATTTTGCACATCTTGAAATATTATTCATTGTTCTCCCTGAAGACCTGAACTACAGTGGTGGCAGGCTGCTAAGGTCATGAGCAATGTCAAAAGATTTGATTAGATTATAGGTAGTTTGTGAGGTATAGTTTAGGGACTACTGCTTTGGAATTGTCCAAATGGTGGAAAGTTAAATACCAATCTAATATCCATGGAGTATCTATATATTAGTAGCTTGTATAGATTTAAGGGTTGGGTTCTAGCAAGGCATGTTAGCAGAAACACCCTTATTTCCTTCCCTAGAAAGTCAATAAATTTCAATGTGTCAGCAGAAAGCCATGATTGGAGAAAGCCTCCAGTGGAGGCACTATGCCCACAAGAAAGTCACAGCCTGAAACAGCCAGGGGAGAACTTCCAGCTCTCATGTACAAGAAGGGGAAAATGCCACGTCCACACCTAGAGTCCTTGCGCTTGTTTTGATAAATACATCAAAACTATCAGTGTTTGTGCCATTAAGGGAAACCCACTTTCCCTTTGTGCATCAGTTCTTTCTTCTTCAGCCTCTTCCTGTTTTAGTTAGGTATTTAATACCACTGGGTAAGGTTTGGTTTTAAATGCCTAAAAATGGGGAATAAATATTCCCACTTACACAAGTTTTTAGCTCAGGACTAGCAAGTATTGTCTCATCTGCTACACTTTGCACAGAGTTCCTGCCAGTCATCCTGTTGTTTAAAGACATGAAGATAATTAGGAAGATGATCCTAAGGCCTCAGGGGACTTGCAGAGTTATGTATTCCCACCTGCTAGAGTAGAGACACCATCATTTACAAGCTGACATATCTAACAGAGTGGGATTTGTTTTCTCTTATCTATCAATGGTCAGAGCCAAGAGCAAGTGCGTTCAATAGTAAAACACAAAATCTGAATGTGTGGGACCTTTTGGGATGGGTTGCACCACAGGATCAGGGGAGATGAGTTAAGAGTGAGTGGATGCATCAGACTGTGGTTCCCCTATCTATTAGTAATGAAATTAATGACAAGTGAGGATGCTTAAATTGGGAACCCATCAAGGCATCAGGAACGAGGGTAGGGAAATGCAGTTGGCAAGGTCGTATCTGAATGTTCACAGCATTTTTGGAATGTGCTTCTGCTCCCAATTTGGAGCTTGAATTTATTAGCCTCTGGGGTACGCTAAGGACCCTAAGAAAATGTGAGAAAGGGTGGTGTCATGTGTGCACTCCTGGAGGGATTCGTTGTTAGAATGAGGGATATCTGTGTTGTGGCCAGGGTATTAAATCTCAAGATAATTGACAAAGCCATTTTAGTGCATTTTTAAAAGCATGTTAATGACACTCTGAGGTTTGGCTGGTTGCTGTTATTATAGGAGAGTGAAAAAAAAAAAAAAGATGTCTAAATAAATCTACTATGGCAATTATTAGGTGATGAGACTCAGATGGTCTGATGTAAGAGTGTGTAGTGATGGAGACTGCAGCCTGAGCTGGAGCAGCAGGCCAAAATCAGCAGGGAAATGATCATCAGTGGATGCTATATCTCAGACAACATCATTATCTCCAAGGTGGGGGCTTTATTACATTACTAGGAGGGACTGTTTTCTGAACAAGCACCCAAACTGCCAATAAAGCAGGAGGTAATGAATCTAGCTAATATTGATTCTAGTTCAGAAGGGATTTGAATAGATGTATGTCACTCAGTAGCAGCAAACATGTCTCTAGCACTTTAACTGGCAGCTGGAACAAAAAACCCATTTATTTATGTTTTTAGGTATGCTCAAACAACCTCAAGGACTATTTTAAAAATCACATTGCAGAGACATGGTAGGAATACTGGGGAGATGGCATTTTTCTTGGTTGCGCAAGGACTAACCTGTCTGTGGGGTTTCCCATGTGATGCCTCAGAAACTTGCTTCATGATGCCTGAAACCTGATTTTTCTTCATTTAATCAAATAGAACTTTGCTATTATTTTTCACTTTGTTTATCGAACTGCATTTTCTCCCTTGACATACTGGAAGAATTTGTTTTGTATTTACGAGAAACAAAGAGTCCAATGGAAACAAGAAGTAATATTTGGAGTAGAGAGAAAATCAAATGATTGTGACCAAAGATGTTCTTTGGCTGAAAGTGAATGCTAGTGACATGTGCTCGGTGTTTCACAACTGGCACATTCGGAGCACTATGTTAATGGAAAAATCCTCTGCTCTGAGATGTGTGTCACAGATTGGTCAGACACTGGAAGCAGTGCTAACAGCAAGGCTCTTTTAACAAAAAACATGTAGTGTTTGCAGAATTATTCATGTTTTTAGATGTGTTTCAGGGCTAGATTTATTTCTTTTTCTTTTGGATATGGCTGCACTGGGATTTATCCCAGTTGATTTTGCGATTTCAGCTTCTTTGATTTGATTTGGTTAAAATAAATGGAGAAAGCTCAGATAGTCTGGTTTTCAAAGGGATTACAAGTTCTGTAAATTTACTTTTCAATTTAATTCCCAGTGTAGTAGCTTATCCAATTTTGAACACCTTGGTTTAGTCCTGAGGAAGGTCCAGTAAAGATCCAGTACCATGGTCAAATTGTACCAGATCTTAGCTAGGAGCAGAAGCTGAAAGCTGCTCTAGCCTTTGTGAAATCCAGTCTTAGCATCAAGCGGACTGTGCTTTGCAAGGGCTGTAGAAGAGCAGGTGATAGCAGGTAGCACCATACACTGCCTATAATCAGGCATCACGGGCCTTTTGAAAGCACCTGCCCTACTGTGTGAAGGTGGCCCTTGAAGGCAAAATTACCACATATCCACAGGTGAGTATTTATCGTGATAGTGCCAAAAGGAAGGCCTGTAGTTGAATGCAATGCTTTAGGGTGTGCTAGGGACCTGCAGCAAGGACAAACCCATGACCTCTGTGCCTGGCCCCGGGCAAAGGGACTTGGCCAACACAAGGTAAGAAGCAAGGGAGCCTCTAAGGGCACTGCTGTCAGGAGGAGATGCTGTCCTGATCCCACCTTCAGATCCAACAAGGCATCCTGCTAGAGCGCGTCAGCAGTGCCTCTACCAGGCATTGATTGCCCTGCTGCGATCAACAGACCAAATCGCCCAGCAAGTGGCCTCTGGGAACCGCTTCATGTCAGGCCGCACCAACCTGCTTCATGCTGCCCATGCAATTATGGCTTGCTCCTTCTCCATGACTATTAACTGTTCATTTTGATGAAATGACCAATACTGCAGAGTCCCATGCTTCCCCACAGAATAAAGGCTTATGGGGGCTACAGCAGCTTGGAATTATCTATCCATGAAAAAGGAAGATAGACTTCAGCTCTAAAGCATTTCCACTTTTATCCTGTTGTAATTTCACAGGGACGTTTTTCTGCTGTGCATAGACCGCTGTTTTTTCTTCCTCTTCTGCCTGGAGGTTTGAAAGAGCAATAGAAACAGCAAGGAAATTTGTCCATTAGGAGAAAGAGAAACAGACAAGAAGCTACCAATGTACA